TAGCACTAACACTAGCCCTAGACTAGCACTAACACTAGCCCCACCCTAACACTAACATTATCCCCACCCTAGCACTAACACTAGCCCTAGACTAGCACTAACACTAGCCCTAGACTAGCACTAACACTAGCCCTAGAATAGCACTAACACTAGCCCTAGACTAGCACTAACACCAGCCCCACCCTAGCGCTAACATTAGCACCACCCTAGCACTAACACTAGCCCTAGACTAGCACTAACACTAGCCCTAGACTATCACTAACACTAGCCCTAGACTAGCACTAACACCAGCCCCACCCTAGCACTAACACTAGCCCTAGACTAGCACTAACACTAGCCCTAGACTAGCACTAACACCAGCCCTAGACTAGCACTAACACTAGCCCTAGACTAGCACTAACACTAGCCCCACCCTAACACTAACACTAGCCCTAGACTAGCACTAACACTAGCCCTAGACTAGCACTAACACTAGCCCCACCCTAGCACTAACACTAGCCCTAGACTAGCACTAACACTAGCCTTAGACTAGCACTAACACTAGCCCTAGACTAGCACTAACACCAGCCCTAGACTAGCACTAACACTAGCCCTAGACTAGCACTAACACTAGCCCTAGACTAGCACTAACACTAGCCCCACCCTAACACTAACACTTGCCCCATCCTAGCACTAACACTAGCCCTAGACTAGCACTAACACTAGCCCTAGACTAGCACTAACACTAGCCCCACCCTAACACTAACACTTGCCCCATCCTAGCACTAACACTAGCCCCACCCTAGCACTAACACTAGCCCCACCCTAGCACTAACACTAGCCCTAGACTAGCACTAACACTAGCCCTAGACTAGCACTAACACTAGCCCTAGACTAGCACTAACACTAGCCCTAGACTAGCACTAACACTAGCCCTAGACTAGCACTAACACCAGCCCCACCCTAGCACCAACACTAGCCCTAGACTAGCACTAACACTAGCCCCACCCTAGCACTAACACTAACCCCACCCTAGCACTAACACTAGCCCTAGACTAGCACTAACACTAGCCCTAGACTAGCACTAACACTAGCCCTAGACTAGCACTAACACTAGCCCTAGACTAGCACTAACACTAGCCCTAGACTAGCACTAACACTAGCCCTAGACTAGCACTAACACCAGCCCCACCCTAGCACTAACACTAGCCCTAGACTAGCACTAACACTAGCCCTAGACTAGCACTAACACTAGCCCTAGACTAGCACTAACACTAGCCCTAGACTAGCACTAACACTAGCCCTAGACTAGCACTAACACTAGCCCTAGACTAGCACTAACACTAGCCCTAGACTAGCACTAACACTAGCCCTAGACTAGCACTAACACTAGCCCTAAACTAGCACTAACACTAGCCCTAGACTAGCACCAACACTAGCCCTAGACTAGCACTAACACCAGCCCCACCCTAGCACTTACACTAGCCCCACCCTAGCACTAACACTAGCCCTAGACTAGCACTAACACTAGCCCTAGACTAGCACTAACACTAGCCCTAGACTAGCACTAACACTAGCCCTAGACTAGCACTAACACTAGCCCCACCCTAGCACTTACACTAGCCCCACCCTAGCACTAACACTAGCCCTAGACTAGCACTAACACTAGCCCTAGACTAGCACTAACACTAGCCCTAGACTAGCACTAACACTAGCCCCACCCTAGCACTAACACTAGCCCTAGACTATCACTAACACTAGCCCTAGACTAGCACTAACACTAGCCCTAGACTAGCACTAACACTAGCCCTAGACTAGCACTAACACTAGCTCTAGACTAGCACTAACACTAGCCCTAGACTAGCACTAACCCTAGCCCCACCCTAGCACTAACACTAGCCCTAGACTAGCACTAACACTAGCTCTAGACTAGCACTAACACTAGCTCTAGACTAGCACTAACCCTAGCCCCACCCTAGCACTAACACTAGCCCTAGACTAGCACTAACACTAGGCCCACTCTAGCACTAACACTAGCCCTAGACTAGCACCAACACTAGCCCTAGACTAGCACTAACACCAGCCCCACCCTAGCACTTACACTAGCCCCACCCTAGCACTAACACTAGCCCTAGACTAGCACTAACACTAGCCCTAGACTAGCACTAACACTAGCCCTAGACTAGCACTAACACTAGCCCTAGACTAGCACTAACACTAGCCCTAGACTAGCACTAACACTAGCCCCACCCTAGCACTTACACTAGCCCCACCCTAGCACTAACACTAGCCCTAGACTAGCACTAACACTAGCCCTAGACTAGCACTAACACTAGCCCTAGACTAGTACTAACACTAGCCCCACCCTAGCACTAACACTAGCCCTAGACTATCACTAACACTAGCCCTAGACTAGCACTAACACTAGCCCTAGACTAGCACTAACACTAGCCCTAGACTAGCACTAACACTAGCTCTAGACTAGCACTAACACTAGCCCTAGACTAGCACTAACCCTAGCCCCACCCTAGCACTAACACTAGCCCTATACTAGCACTAACACTAGCCTTAGACTAGCACTAACACTAGCCTTAGACTAGCACTAACACTAGCCCTAGACTAGCACTAACACTAGCCCTAGACTAGCACTAACACTAGCCCTAGACTAGCACTAACACCAGCCCTAGACTAGCACTAACACTAGCTCTAGACTAGCACTAACACTAGCTCTAGACTAGCACTAACCCTAGCCCCACCCTAGCACTAACACTAGCCCTAGACTAGCACTAACACTAGGCCCACTCTAGCACTAACACTAGCCCTAGATTAGCACTAACACTAGCCCTAGACTAGCACTAACACTAGCCCCAGACTAGCACTAACACTAGTGTAGAGGTGTTAACTACGCACTGTTGGGTAACCTGAATTGCCACCAGGTATCAAAGGGGCAGTGCAGCGTTACCTCTGTGTACATAACGGTTGGGGTCAGACGAGGTGAAGTAGTTCGTAGCCACAGTTGGGGAGAACCAATCAGCCAGTTCCACGTGTGAGTATGGGATTGGTTAGACCTGGTCACAAACGGGTATAAGAAGGGTGACCGCGCAGAACGCGGGGAGTTCTCTCCCTAAACGAAGACCGAAGCCCAGGCTGAAGATAGCCAGGACCCTGGACCCAGCCTTCCAGCCTTTCTGAGGGCTAAGGCTCGGCATACCCAGTGGTCAGGACCCGCCGGGCCAGCAGTGGGTCAGATAGCCTCCCCTAGGTCCCAGCCGGAGGACCCTGGAATAGGGTAGCGGTAGACGTGTGAGTCCCGCCAAGCTAGGAGGCTGTACCTCCTTAGGTATCAAGGAGACCTGTGTGTAGGTCACGCTGAGTCCGGAGGCTGTACCTCCTTCGGGTATCGGGTGAGGGGACCGTATACCCCTCTGTGTGTTAAGGACTGTGTGGGAAAGGAATTACAATAAACAGAGTGTGCCTCAAAAGAAGTTTATTCGTCTTTATAAACACTACACTCGCCCCACCCTAGCACTAACACTAACCCTAGACTAGCACTAACACTAGCCCTAGACTAGCACTAACACTAGCCCTAGACTAGCACTAACACTAGCCCTAGACTAGCACTAACACTAGCCCTAGACTAGCACTAACACTAGCCCTAGACTAGCACTAACACTAGCCCTAGACTAGCACTAACACTAGCCCTAGACTAGCACTAACACTAGCCCTAGACTAGCACTATCACTAGCCCTAGACTAGCACTAACACTAGCCCCACCCTAGCACTAACACTAACCCTAGACTACCACTAACACTAGCCCTAGACTAGCACTAACACTAGCCCCACCCTAGCACTAACACTAGCCCTAGACTATCACTAACACTAGCCCTAGACTAGCACTAACACTAGCCCCACCCTAACACTAACATTATCCCCACCCTAGCACTAACACTAGCCCTAGACTAGCACTAACACTAGCCCTAGACTAGCACTAACACTAGCCCTAGACTAGCACTAACACTAGCCCTAGACTAGCACTAACACCAGCCCCACCCTAGCGCTAACATTAGCACCACCCTAGCACTAACACTAGCCCTAGACTAGCACTAACACTAGCCCTAGACTAGCACTAACACCAGCCCCACCCTAGCACTAACACTAGCCCTAGACTAGCACTAACACTAGCCCTAGACTAGCACTAACACCAGCCCTAGACTAGCACTAACACTAGCCCTAGACTAGCACTAACACTAGCCCTAGACTAGCACTAACACTAGCCCTAGACTAGCACTAACACTAGCCCTAGACTAGCACTAACACTAGCCCTAGACTAGCACTAACACTAGCCCTAGACTAGCACTAACACCAGCCCCACCCTAGCACTAACACTAGCCCTAGACTAGCACTAACACTAGCCCTAGACTAGCACTAACACTAGCCCTAGACTAGCACTAACACCAGCCCCACCCTAGCACTAACACTAGCCCTAGACTAGCACTAACACTAGCCCTAGACTAGCACTAACACTAGCCCTAGACTAGCACTAACACTAGCCCTAGACTAGCACTAACACTAGCCCTAGACTAGCACTAACACTAGCCCTAGACTAGCACTAACACTAGCCCTAGACTAACACTAACACTAGCCCTAGACTAGCACTAACACTAGCCCCACCCTAGCACTAACACTAACACTAGCCCTAGACTAACACTAACACTAGCCCTAGACTAACACTAACACTAGCCCCACCCTAGCACTAACACTAGCCCTAGACTAGCACTAACACTAGCCCTAGACTAGCACTAACACTAGCCCTAGACTAGCACTAACACTAGCCCTAGACTAGCACTAACACTAGCCCTAGACTAGCACTAACACTAGCCCTAGACTAGCACTAACACCAGCCCCACCCTAGCACTAACACTAGCCCTAGATTAGCACTAACACTAGCCCTAGATTAGCACTAACACTAGCCCTAGACTAGCACTAACACTAGCCCTAGACTAGCACTAACACTAGCCCTAGATTAGCACTAACACTAGCCCTAGACTAGCCCTAGCACGAGCCCCCAATGCCAGCGGGAAAAAAAAATCAACTCATAACTGTTGTTAAAACACCGTATTATGAACGTTACCCCTAATACTCACACATCATCATAGCACAGACATCACACACACACACAGCACACATCATCATCATAGCACACACACAGCACACACCATCATCATAGCACACAGGACACATCACAAATCATGACCACACAGCACACATCATCTGGCTCTGGCACGTCACCACCATCACCCCTGGTCACTGTTGGTATGGTCCCGGCACGCCGCCCTCTAAGCCGTGCGCCGTGGTCACGTGGCCGCCGCCGCCGCCGCTGCTGCTGCCCGTTGCTCCCGACTCTCCTCCGCTCTTCCACTCGAGCCAGCCCAGGTAGGAACCAGCCGCGTACAGCAGCGTGCAGAGCAGGGCGAAGAACTGTGTGGTGGCACGGGCGGGTGGGTGAAAGGGCGCTCGAATGAATCGGCGGAGTTGAGTGAACGGGTCAGTTGGTGGGTGGGTGAGCGGGGTGTCCCCTCTTCTAGAATGACGCGAGGGAGGGGAGGGGAGTTAGAATGAACGAGTGAATGAATGAGTGCATGAATGAGGGGCGTTAGAATGAACGAGTGAATGAATGAGTGCATGAACGAACGGGTCAGTTGGTGGGTGGGTGAGCGGGGTGTCCCCTCTTCTAGAATGACGCGAGGGAGGGGAGGGGCGTTAGAATGAACGAGTGGAATGAATGAGTGCATGAATGAGGGGAGGGGCGTTAGAATGAACGAGTGAATGAATGAGTGCATGAATGAACGGGTCAGTGTGTGGGTGAGTGGTCGACTCTTTTAGAAGGGGGAGGGGGGGTGGGGTGGGGGGAGCGTTCAAATGAACGAGTGAAACATGAATGATAGTGAATGAATTAACGGACGAGTGAGTGGTTCACTTTTTTGAGGATGACGTCACGGCAGCGAGGGGGACGTTAGAATGAATGAGTGGTGGCCCCGGCTGACCTAGGAGGCGTTAGCCACCTCGCCTGATACGTAGGAGGTTCGTGGGTTCGATCCCGACCTTGACGATGCCTGCTGCTGCTGCTGTAGATAGAAGCTGCTTGGACATGTGCTGGGATGGGCATGCGGTGGTTGGCTGGGCATGCTGCGGCTATATGACCCAGCCAACCCCAGCCTCCTAGCCCTGCCGTACGAACTCACCCTAACCAGCGTCCCAAGTGAAGCTCCCTTGGGGTTTGGGGGAGGGGGGGGGGATACTTCACGTCGTCTCAAGGTGTGCACGTAGCCTGGCACAAGCGCCGCGGTGACGTCGCCCCCAACGCTTAGTGGCGAGCGGCCTTCTGTCGTGGCTTGCGTTGCTGCGCTTACAGACTGTGGCAACGCCAATTCAACAATTCCTGCTCACGGCAACGAACACCAGCGACGATTATTTGAACCGGGGTCTCCCCTAGGTCGACTGAACCTCAAATGGGTGCCTGCGAAGTAAACATCGCTATTCGGGAGAGACAAAGGCGGCCGGGGCGTGGTGCTGGCCACCTACCCCCTCGTGTGCCACAGTTCTGGCCTTCATAGGTGCTGCTCCCCATACTCATAGAGACCCATAGACCCACAGAGACCCATACTCATAGAGACCTATAGACCCACAGAGACCCATCCTCATTGAGACCCATAGACCCACAGAGACCCATACTCATAGAGACTCATAGACCCACAGAGACCCATACTCATAGAGACCTATAGACCCACAGAGACCCATACTCATAGAGACCCATAGACCCACAGAGACCCATACTCATAGAGACCCATATACTCACAGAAACCCATACTCATAGAGACCCATAGACCCACAGAGACCCATACTCATAGAGACCCATAGACCCACAGAGACCCAAACTCATAGAGACCCATAGACCCACAGAGACCCATACTCATAGAGACCCATAGACCCACAGAGACCCATAGTCATAGAGACCCATAGACCCACAGAGACCCATACTCATAGAGACCCATAGACCCACAGAGACCCATTCTCATAGAGACTCATAGACCCACAGAGACCCATAGTCATAGAGACCCATAGACCCACAGAGACCCATACTCATAGAGACCCATAGACCCACAGAGACCCATACTCATAGAGACCCATAGAACTACAGAGACCCATACTCATAGAGACCCATAGACCCACAGAGACCCATACTCATACAGACCCATAGACCCACAGAGACCCATACTCATAGAGACCCATAGACCCACAGAGACCCATACTCATAGAGACCCATAGACCCACAGAGTCCCATACTCATAGAGACCCATAGACCCACAGAGACCCATACTCATAGAGACCCATAGACCCACAGAGACCCATACTCATAGAGACCCATAGACCCACAGAGACCCATACTCATAGAGACCCATAGACCCACAGAGTCCCATACTGATAGAGACCCATAGACCCACAGAGACCCATACTCATAGAGACCCATAGAACTACAGAGACCCATACTCATAGAGACCCATAGACCCACAGAGACCCATACTCATACAGACCCATAGAACTACAGAGACCCATACTCATAGAGACCCATAGAACTACAGAGACCCACAACAACCCACAGAGACCCATGCTTAAACTATACTATTTTTTATACAGGTAGGAACAACAGGTTCCACGCTGCCCACCAGGGATTAATTGTCTGTCTATGTCGTGCAAATCCGGAATTCCATCCGCATAATTTGACTGCCATCTAGCGGGTAATGACAGTATTTGTGCTCTATAACAGTCAAGTACGACTGATCATTCTGAACACATACCTGCATCAACAAACACTTGCATCAGTGACTTCTAACTTTCGCTGACTGCAGGAATTCACATTGTTTGGCTCTTTCGGTAAAGTCACGTCGGTGGAAAAAAAATCAAAAAAATCTAAAAAAATCACAAGAACCAAAAACTCACACGACGTTTCGATCGCAACACAAGCGGCCGTCATCATTTACGAAACAGCAGGCGTCGTCAGGGTCGGGATCGAACCCCCTCCCGTATACCAGGCAAAGTAGTTAACATCTCGCCACTAACAGCACTTGCCCCGCCCCCCAACAGTCTGTCACAGGCTAACACGTTGGGAGATCTTTGTCTTTGTCTCTACACGTTGTGAGATCTTTGTCTTTGTGTCTACATGATGGGAGATCTTTGTCTTTGTGTCTACACGTTGGGAGATCTTTGTCTTTGTGCCTACACGTTGTGAGATCTTTGTCTTTGTGTCTACATGATGGGAGATCTTTGTCTTTGTGTCTACACGTTGGGAGATCTTTGTCTTTGTGTCTACACGTTGTGAGATCTTTGTCTTTGTGTCTACACGTTGTGAGATCTTTGTCTTTGTGTCTACACGTTGTGAGATCTTTGTCTTTGTCTCTACACGATGGGAGATCTTTGTCTTTGTGTCTACACGTTGTGAGATCTTTGTCTTTGTGTCTACACGATGTGAGATCTTTGTCTTTGTCTCTACACGTTGGGAGATCTTTGTCTTTGTCTCTACACGATGGAAGATCTTTGTCTTTGTGTCTACACGTTGGGAGATCTTTGTCTTTGTGTCTACACGTTGTGAGATCTTTGTCTTTTTCTCTACACGATGGGAGATCTTTGTCTTTGTGTCTACACGATGGGAGATCTTTGTCTTTGTGTCTACACGTTGTGAGATCTTTGTCTTTGTCTCTACACGATGTGAGATCTTTGTCTTTGTCTCTACACATTGGGAGATCTTTGTCTTTGTCTCTACACGATGGGAGATCTTTGTCTTTGTCTCTACACATTGGGAGATCTTTGTCTTTGTGTCTACACGTTGGGAGATTTTTGTCTTTGTGTCTACACGTTGTGAGATCTTTGTCTTTGTGTCTACACGATGGGAGATCTTTGTCTTTGTCTCTACACGTTGGGAGATCTTTGTCTTTGTCTCTACACGTTGGGAGATCTTTGTCTTTGTGTCTACACGATGGGAGATCTTTGTCTTTGTGTCTACACGATGTGAGATCTTTGTCTTTGTGTCTACACGTTGTGAGATCTTTGTCTTTGTGTCTACACGTTGGGAGATCTTTGTCTTTGTGTCTACACGATGGGAGATCTTTGTCTTTGTCTCTACACGTTGTGAGATCTTTGTCTTTGTCTCTACACGATGTGAGATCTTTGTCTTTGTGTCTACACGTTGTGAGATCTTTGTCTTTGTGTATACACGATGGGAGATCTTTGTCTTTGTGTCTACACGTTGGGAGATCTTTGTCTTTGTGTCTACACGATGGGAGATCTTTGTCTTTGTGTCTACACGTTGTGAGATCTTTGTCTTTGTCTCTACACGTTGTGAGATCTTTGTCTTTGTCTCTACACGTTGTGAGATCTTTGTCTTTGTGTCTACACGATGGGAGATCTTTGTCTTTGTGTCTACACGATGTGAGATCTTTGTCTTTGTGTCTACACGTTGGGAGATCTTTGTCTTTGTGTCTACACGTTGTGAGATCTTTGTCTTTGTGTCTACACGATGTGAGATCTTTGTCTTTGTGTCTACACGTTGGGAGATCTTTGTCTTTGTGTCTACACGATGGGAGATCTTTGTCTTTGTCTCTACACGTTGGGAGATCTTTGTCTTTGTGTCTACACGTTGTGAGATCTTTGTCTTTGTGTCTACACGTTGTGAGATCTTTGTCTTTGTTTCTACACGATGGGAGATCTTTGTCTTTGTGTCTACACGATGTGAGATCTTTGTCTTTGTGTCTACACGATGGGAGATCTTTGTCTTTGTGTCTACACATTGGGAGATCTTTGTCTTTGTGTCTACACGATGGGAGATCTTTGTCTTTGTCTCTACACGTTGGGAGATCTTTGTCTTTGTGTCTACACGTTGTGAGATCTTTGTCTTTGTGTCTACACGTTGTGAGATCTTTGTCTTTGTGTCTACACGATGGGAGATCTTTGTCTTTGTGTCTACACGATGTGAGATCTTTGTCTTTGTGTCTACACGATGGGAGATCTTTGTCTTTGTGTCTACACATTGGGAGATCTTTGTCTTTGTCTCTACACGATGGGAGATCTTTGTCTTTGTGTCTACACGTTGTGAGATCTTTGTCTTTGTCTCTACACGATGGGAGATATTTGTCTTTGTGTCTACACGATGGGAGATCTTTGTCTTTGTGTCTACACGTTGGGAGATCTTTGTCTTTGTGTCTACACATTGGGAGATCTTTGTCTTTGTCTCTACACGATGGGAGATCTTTGTCTTTGTGTCTACACGTTGTGAGATCTTTGTCTTTGTGTCTACACGTTGTGAGATCTTTGTCTTTGTGTCTACACGTTGGGAGATCTTTGTCTTTGTGTCTACACGTTGTGAGATCTTTGTCTTTGTGTCTACACATTGTGAGATCTTTGTCTTTGTGTCTACACGTTGTGAG